CAATGAACCGACACCGAACACAGGAAGAGACAAGACTAAATACAGGGGGGGTAATCACGAGACGAGAAACAGCCGAGCAGGGGAGGAGAAACACAAGGGCAACAGGTGAACACAATCAGACAATCAGACACACCAAGAAAACTAACGACAGAGAGAAGGATCAGACAAGAAACGAGGAAAACATGAAACAGGGAGAAAAGAACAGCAAAACAAAACCCATTACCAGACCCACAAAACTAAAACCGTGACATAACACCAAGATTGTGACAATAGTGACAGGGAGTATGAGAAGAAGAGGAAGAGAAAGTTTCAGCCACACCGGCTTGATCAATGGAGTTGGCTTCAATATGATGATATTGTAGAGCCGATGAAAGGGAGTCAGAGGCGGTGTGTTCAGTATGGAACTCCACACTTTATTTTCCATTTGTAACAAAACAAGGTAAGTATATCTGCTCGTTGCTACTATCAAGCTAGCATGAATACCACAACACGGTACCCTCACTAACAGGTCCGTGTTGCAACACACAATATACCCAACGATAAATTATGTCCCATAATGTGTCACCACAATATAAACAAGGTCTTTTGTCAGCTCTGTACATCAATGCCGACCTATGCTAACAAGTAAGTAAAGAGTAGAAAATATAAAGGTATATTCGCTATAGGGAAATGTCCCAGCAGTTTAGGATAATGAAGGTTCTAATCTAATCTATTACATAGCCATTACATTTATAACTCCTGATAATGACAGGAAGGCAGAAAGTGTATTATAAAAATAATAATAATAATAATACTCATAGCAGAAATGTCACCCTCCTTTTTTTCTTTTAACAATGACCACAATATAACAATTTTAATAAACCAAATATGAACAATTGAGGAAAATGAGGAATAACTGATGATTCAAATGTTGTAGTACAAGTATTAATGTAGTTTGTGCATAAATTACTATTGCAACTAATGTGTTCATTTTCTTCATTATTAGAGTAGATTTTTTTGGATGAATGCTCTTGGGCCAGTGGTTACAATGGTGGGGCCAGTAAAAATGAAAATATAGTGGCCCGGAGGGTCTACCCCTGACACATATTAGGTGGATTTAAACAATTTAAAACCCTGCTGGTACTACAGAGAAAACTACACTGTGTGCATTTTTATTTATATCATACCAGGAAAAGAATATATCAGACAGTCAGACAATGTATTAACTCATTTCCCACATTGAGATGTCTACTTTTAGGTTGAGATTCTGCTTACTAATATATCAATGGATCATCAGCTATACTGAGGATATTACATTCAGAGAATCTAAAATCAGGACAATAACTAATCTGCTGTTTTAGAAACAGAAGTAACCTTGTTCACACAAAAACCTCAGTACTTCTTAAATATCCCGGCACAGATCCAGCACAGCTCACAACTCTGTACAGATCAGTGGCATCATAATACCAAATGTTGTGTGGATTTAAAGCTCATACTAAGATGAGTTTCAGAAGTTAGCTTAAGAAATTAGGGTTCCCGATATGTTGGCCAAATAATCCTTGAATTCTATTACTGTAGTGTACATTGGGGAAATTCAACATACTCAAGTATGTTACCTGCATCTTTTATTATTCTCTATGCTCAACAAATACACCCCCTGTGGTATTAAAAACTGGTTGCAGACATGCAAAGGTTATGGGTGTACATGAAGAATGCATCATGAAGCAATTTGCTTCTGCATGTATTAGTGTAGGTGGAGTGGATTAAAGTGTATTACTTGAGGGATGAGTACATCTCAGAAATAACTCTTCTGCCAGCTGCTTAAAATGCACACATTTCTGCAAAGAGCAGAAATGTACAGTGTGAGACAAGCTAACCAAAACATGGCCCAGGGTCACCTATAGACACATTTAGATAAACTGTCTTTCTTTTTCAACATCAGCACTCTTTATTTATTTGTTTAACCATAACAATGATTACCATTTCATCCTATGGTAAGTATGGGGCTTTTATAATTGCTCTTTTTGAAGGGAAAATAGATCGGTGTTCTTCCTGCTTTTGCACACCTGTGCCCTACTGAGAACAGCAAAGTCTTTGATCTGGGCTCCAGAGAGCCTTTCATTTTTAGCAGAATTATGGATTAGCATCAAAATGAACAGGGGAAGCCGTTCAAATAGTTAGTTACATGGAGAGGGTAGTGGAAGAGTCACATTCAGACAGAAAATCTAACATGTACTGTATTGTTCAACTGTTAGAGAATTGTGATAAAAACTGACAACTTGAGAAGAGAGTGCATGTTGATATCAATTTACATCCAAGTGGTGGGTCACCATGGGGAGAAAGGCTTTTTCTTACAACGCGTTATCCTCAATGGAAACAGCAGAAAAGTTCACAAGCTATCACGCAAGATCATCATGCTTTGCTTCAGACGAGCCTTACGGATGTTTCACAGAAGATAAGGTCCATATCTTTAAATTGCATTGCAATAAGAATCCTAAGAGCTAACCTCTGAAACATCTGACTATTATCACCCATTTCAGAAACTGAAAGCAGCATTGTTGTATTTATCTAATGACTTAGATTAGGCAACAGTAAGAGACTCAGCACAATTTATTTGTTAGTAAATAAATTACATGAAGTTGAATAATTTCTCTAAAACCCAAGCAAACAGAAGGCAATCCTCTCAAAACAGACATCACATAAGCCCTGAGCAAGATCCTTGAAGTCCAGCAGGGGTCCCAGAAAAGCAATTTCTCCCTTGACAACACCAACATCACTAACACTGTGTGTACAGACTACTCTCGTATGCACATTATATCGCAGTCTCAAACAAATCTTATTAATGGCATCACGAGAAAACTCCCATGTTAGTATGTAACACATTTAACCCCATTTCCATTTGTTTTAGAATGTTAGAGGATTTGCCAGATGATAACATAATATGACAAATATGTCAACAAAGGAGGATTTTCTTTTTCAGAATCAATGTTTAACACTAACATCACCCTCATGGAGCAATAGGAAACATATGTTGAAGGAGCTTTAAATTCTCATAAAGAACCAATCATACTTCAATCAGATTCCCCAAAGGCCTGCATGCAGTTAATGCTCACAAGAGAGAATAAATCACAACTAAGATAGAGAAGCAGCACAAGGATGCTCAGTGTATTGATGCAGATTGTTTGATCACTGCAGTCTTTAGACAATGGGATGAACAGTACAACCGACAAATGGGATTGACATCAGACTGTTAAAAGATGTGCATCATGCCATGGAAGTTATTGTGAAACTGTTGTCATTTGTTTGCAGTAAAGATAAATGCATTAGCTACCAAATACATAGACTCTGTGTTTGGCCCGACTGTTGGACAAACTATTTAGGACAAAACTATTCAAATCGGAGTGCAAATTGGATCAGGTTAATATGACAACATTGGCCAAGGTTTTAAAATGTCAGCCTCATGTAGATGGTAGAAAAAAACATTCTGAAACGCACTTTTCAACTGCATTTTGTACAATACAATTGGAGAAAATCATTGGAAATAGATGATAAATAGACACTGTGAAACTCAATGTAGCTTTAACTTTCTACAGTATTGCACCATGATATGTTTTGAGTATTTAATAACTGTGGTTCTCATTCGTAACACTCCGTTCGATGTCTCACTATGGGATGGGCCTCATCGCGGAGCAAACAGAAGCATCAATCTCATTACGCCAATCCTGATTGGCTGGTGATCTTGACGTCAGCGTCAGGGAATCTAACCCCTATAAGTAGCTTGCGCTACGCCGCATGCATCATTCAAACACCTCTTCTCGCTTCAGAGCACATCTCTACTGGTAGCCGGGCAAGCTCACACAGTCCACAGACGGAACCAAGCTATCCAAGCNGTGCAACTCCGAAAAAAGAGAATACAATAATATTCAATCACTATTATACAGCTTATTACCACCAAACTCACTACACACATCAATAGTCTCCTGTGTGTCATACTTGACACACAGGAGACTATTGATGTGTGTAGTGAGTTTGGTGGTAATAAGCTGTATAATAGTGATTGAATATTATTGTATTCTCTTTTTTCGGAGTTGCACTTTGCAGACGGTCCCTGAGCACTCGTTTCTTCTCCGGCTGCGGATAGAGACCAATGTAATGTGTCCATCTCGGAGGACGGCGCGTATTGGCTTTTTTTGATGAAAATGTGATTGTAGTTCTTTGTCAACCTTACCACGGTACATAGGAGACGTAATTTGTGTCTGAATAACGTTTTGTTCATGAATTATTGATCCGTGAAATCAGAATCTCCCAATATCGTTCCAACTTTACTGAACTAAGCCAGAAGACCCGTCTCATTTCGTAGACCGCTCGGTTTGCTGTTCCTTCACTTTATTTTTATATTTATATACATTTATTTTGGACGAAAACTTAGCGTGAGGAAAGGCAAGTGTGGCGTGAGTGCGTGAGATATGGGTTAATTGCGTGACTCTCACGCTCAATGCGTGAGTGTTGGCAGCCCATTGTAAAAAAAAAACACATCATTTTAAATGTTTTTTGTTTAATTTCTTAGGGTTTGTCTTTATAAACAGTATATGGAGGTTTGGGTTTAAGCTGTCATATTATAATTATGTAACTTCTATGTTTATCTTTAATCTTTGTTAGCATGCTCTTAATCAATATGCTATCTTTGCCACTTTACGTGCTAGCCTGTAACAATGTACATTTCCCCTCTGTGGGACGATTAAAGGTATTCTGATATTCCTAAATGATAAATTGAACGCTAAATGAAGTCGGGCAGCACCGGAGCATTGCACCGTAAATATTGAATATGTACACTGCAATAAGCCCTTGGTTGAATCTGGCCACACCCTTGGCAGGGCCGCCTGAACACGTTGAACCAGTGATGACTCCCAGAGGGTGTGTCCTGCCGCTGTGAACCAGACTAGTGTTCACCTCCTCTTCCTCCTCCTCCTCCTCCTCCTCCTCACCGGCGGGAGTCGACTCGTCACCTCGCAGCAGCCCTCCCTCTTACACGGGAGAGAAGACACGCAGCAGCGCCACAGCCGTGGAGGAAAGTGATTTTACCAGCGGATATTAGAGACTACTAGAGAGACCACTTGAAGAACAGTTTTACCTCGGATACTTGCGCGATCTGTGAGGCTCTCCTGTAACCATGGGGGACGTGGTGTCTGCTCACCTGGATGAGAGCAGGAGGGAGATGATAACAGGTAAGGGAGAAAGGAGCTATAACTGAAGGACTATTATAGACACTAAGTTTATTGATTCTTAACCAAAACTGACTTTTCGGAAAAGTTTGAAAATACCTCCTAAAGTGTGTTTATCCTCCAGTAGGGGTAATATAAAAAACACTTAAAACATTTTTCAAATAACAAGTCTTTGAAGTTATCCAAAAGTATTAAATGTGTTAAATATAACTTCAAATCATTAATACATTTCTTTCTCTCTTTTTTTGTCAAGAAGCTCATGTGTCATGGATAAAACGTATAGTGATTACATTTCTTAATACTGTATGTGGTGTTAAAATACATTCAATTACATTCTGATACATGCAGGGTTTTTAGTTTTCTTTTAGTCACGCTCAGCAAGTGTCACCTTTCCCCGTTTCCTTCTAGGACAAAGCTTCTCATTGATATCAGTGCATTGTTGCTCTGCTCTACTTGAACAGTTTGCCTCGAATGAATCCCATCTCGGCTGCAGGCCTATTACTCAGAGAGATAATAAGTAGGTTTCCCAGAGGGGAGCCTGTTTGGATAAGTTTTGGAGAGACTGCTATTTAAGGCTCAGATTGCTCCAGCCTCCCACTGTGATCAGGTCTGTGTGGTTATTTCAACAGGGCATGAGAGCAGAAACTGAAACACGTCCACGAGTCTGTATGCATTCTTGAAATTATAGAGTGTGATAGCTAAAAGTAGTTTGGCATGGGTCCCACGTTTAAAAGTTCCCAGGAAAGAAGTGATAAGCCTTGCTTGTTTCGATTTTATGGTTTCTGTTTGGATCCAGCAAATGAGTGCTTTGCAGGAACTTTAGTTTTCAGCCTCATTTTCGATATCTCTTTATGGTTGTAATTGTGTTTGGTGAGTATGCATGCGTGCCTACATGCTTGCACGCAGGCAGGCGGCACGCCTGCTTGCATGAGGAAACCTCTTCCGGAAAACCAAAAGTGATGTTCTTGAGGTCAGGCACTGGGTTTGATTGATGTTACTCACACATCAGAAAGAAACACTCTCAGAAAATACATTGTAAGAAGCTGGCTCTTGAGGTGAGCATTTTTTCACAACCTTTTCACATTTCAGTTATTTAATTAATTAAACCAATTCATGAATACAGATTATCAATCTTTTGCAGCCTTAAAATACAATGACTCTGACGTCATGTTCACGATAGGTAGGCATCTAAAACTTAAGGAATGTGCAGCCTGTCAGATTCAGAATGAACTAGAGCTGTTAACAAGGTTTAAAGGTTGTGAGCATCAGAGTTGACTATAGGCCCTGTAAAGAGTGAGAGGGGGGAGTTATCTCAAAAGGTTTTTCTGAAGCTTCAACTGGCTATTGCCATTCCTCAATAGTATATGGATCCGACTAAATTGACAAAAACATGTCTAAAAGTTTGGAAATATAAAATATAAGACCCCTAAAATCTGAAACACTGTATACAGAGCCAGTCAGTTCAAGTTTTCAGCCAGAATACCAAACATTTTGCAATATGTTCTGCTTCTGAGTTTAGCTGAGAATAAACTACACAAGAAGAGATGATTCAGAGGGAAGGGGGAGGACAACATAATGAGTGAAACGGCAGAGGTAAAGCGGGTAGAAACATGTCACAAGATCAAAAGCTCAAACTGCTGTCTGGATCTCACACACCCTCTTCTTCTACACACAGTATCTATAGATCTGTGCTCTTGTCATGCATGAGTGCAGCCATGTACACACGAATAACAAATAGCACGGCCTTAAATGAGGGGGTATGAATGTATGTGAGTGAGTGTGGGAGAAAGGAAGTGAGTAAAGGCGACTCAGCATTCCTGCATTGGGAGTCTTGTTTGGAGACTGTACCTCCCAACAAGGTGATTTCTTCATCCTTGCTGCACAAACATTCCCACCAAAATATTCCTCCCTTATGAGCCCATGCAACACATGCGCAACTTAGAGTTTGTGCACGCGTTTTCCACAGTCTACAAGTGAATTAAACCATAATGAAGATGTTTCTTAACTAAGTGTCAAAGAACAAGACTGCACATTTTAGATGAAAGCAAAAGAGCCAGTTGTGTCAACACAGTATACTTCAGTCATGCATTTGATTGGTTACCAACAATCAATAACGTTTATGAAGATTTTTTGAAACAACATTTACAGTTGAGTCCTTTGGCTAAAATCCTTCTCTGTGCTAATAGCTGAAAACAAGATTGCTATATCCGCCAGTAAAAGTTTTCTATAGTGTTTTACGGTATACCATCACATATACCGACCCTAATAATCCTGTTTCACGCTCCTCGAGCTAGTCTACCAGTAGTCAGCACTCACATGCCTGCCACCTGGTTGACTTTAAAGCCCATGTAGGAACCACGGCCTGATCCCGACTGGTGCTTTGTTCTTTGAATTATTTGCCAGCTGTTGCAGTTCGAGCATAAGATGATCGACACCATATGACATGGTACCGGAAAACCATGAGTTGCGTCATCAGATCTGTAGTATGTCTTTGACACTTGAGCCAAGAAAGAAGCAGATCAATCAAACGCAGAAACCAGTCAGTAAAGTCGGAGAGACCCCCTGGTAAACCAAAATGTTTTTTGAGGGTGAACTGAACGTGCGTCTGAGCCCCCAGAACATGTTTCAGTTGGTGTTGGGCTCCACCAGGGTTGTCCCTTGTCACCAGTTCTGTTTGTGATCTTCATAGATAGGATCTCAAGGCGCGGCGGGGGGGGGAGGAGAGTGTCCAGTTTTGGGACCTCTGAATGGCTTCCCTACTCCTTCCAGATGAAGTGGTTCTGTTGGCTTTATCAGACCGTGATCTGATGATGCAATGGGGCGGTTTGATTCTCTGTCTGATAATGGTAGATAGCTTCCTCTAAGTTGGGAGTGAGTTTCCGCCCCAAGTAAAGGACTTTGCATATGTTGTGCATATTCTGGTAGGTGTTAAATGAAGCATGGGTTGGAAAGGCAGATTGGTGCAGCATCAGCAGTAACGCAGGCATTGTGGTAAGAAGGAGCTAAGCCAGACAGAAAAGCTTCGGTTTCGCACTTGATGTGACTTCCAACCCTCAACTGTGGTCATGAGCTTTGGGTCTCCTCAAAGACTTTTCTCCATAGGGAAGCTGGATTCAAATTAGAGATAAGGAGAAGTGGAACTGCTAGGAGACCCTGGGGTAGACCCAGAATAAAGCTAGAGAGTTTATTTATCTCAGCTATCTTGGGAACGCCTCAGGACGACCCAGGAAGTGCTGGAAAGTGTTGTTAAAGAGGGGAACTTCTAAACTACTTTGCTGAGACACCAACGCCAGGCCTCTGGACAACTGGCTGACAATGAAATATAAAACAAAGGTGTAGTCTTAGCCCTGTAAGTCTGTATTTGTGTTAATTAATTCACATAAAAAAATAAGAAAGAGGGCGCCTTCTCATTGATGGTGTGTTCATTTTCTTTAAGATTCTCTTTTGTGGTAGATGGAGGGATATAATGGAACTTTTTCCCATGGCTATACAGGTTAAAACAGAGAACTGAGTGTGGGATTTATGATGTGGTCTTTGTTCCCATTTCCCAAGTGCCCAAAAAGTCTGTCCAGTCTGCTGACTTTGGCACAACAAGACAACCAGTGGAAAGTACCAGCTCTCTGCACACATGGAAGCCCCGTTAGTCTGTTCCATATCTTAGCCCAGATCCATATCTTGTGCCAGTTCACAATATCCGGTTCACATTTTTGTTGGTACCAAAAAAGTATCACGGTTCAATAGCCAGCCCTCCTTAACAGTGAGTTATTGGAGGGGGCCTATAAGCTCTCTCTCAATCTTCCTCTAACCCGTCCACTGACCTCCTCCTGCAATGACACAGTGTTTTTACGTTTGTGTCCCCGTCTCCTCCACATTCCCGGTCTATCCTGTCCTGTCAGCTCTTTCCTTCCTGCTCTCCCACTGCATGCCGGCTCTCTTCTTGCTGTGCCGTCCCTTCCCTAAACAGATCATAGTCATCACCGTCTGCTGCTGACTGAGACAAACACACAGACTCTTTTCCAACACTTATTTCATACCCATAGGAGTATACTTTTTAGTTTCTAACTTTGCCATGATCAATGTATCGTTGAGGCTATGAAATGTCTGAAAGGGTTCATACACTTTTTCACCAATGATTTTCAATGACTTCTCCATGACCTTTACCTAATTTTCCATGACCAAAGAAATTACTCTTTCTCAGCGGTACCACTGAAAATGGTTTATTTTAATATGGAACAGGAAATAAGGTCTGCATATGAAACATGTTGTGCCCATCTAAAACAAATCAAATAGTAGGCTTACCAGCTTCTACACGCTAAAGCAACTCAAATCTCTCACCAGCAAAATACCTTGTTAAATGCTATTTTACGTTTCATTACTATACGATACAGTATTCATTATCATTATAGTGTTACTATTTCGGCGATTAGATAAAATATAAATTATATTTGATGCAACTTTAGTTACATTTCCATTACTTTTCCAAAACTTTGGGAAAAATATTGTTTTCCATAACTTTTCCAGGGCCTGGAATTAGCATTTTGAATTTCCATGACTTTTCCAGGTTTTTAATGACCGTAAGAACCCTGGAAAATATTCATCACAACTACCAAGGGGAAATATTTAAACCGTTGTCCCGCCACTAGTCCCCAACACCCAACAATATCTGATTCTTAATGGCAAATATTTTAAAGCTCAGGCTAAATTTGGGTGTAAATATGTATAAAATGAAGTAAGGCATATTTGACTGAATAGAGCAGTGAAAATAACATGGATTCTTGGGTTTAAAACTTACGAGTATGTCTAGAACAACTTGACCTCAGTGGTATTTCAACTAGGCAAAAGCTTTCCATCCCTAAAGTTTCACTAATGACAGGGCTGTACCAGACAGCCACGATATAAAGTGAACATTGCTGCTGATAATACATATCTCTTTTAGTGCTGCACACATTTCACTAGGCCAATTTTCATAAAGTGCTGATAGGGGCAGCGGAGGTTGTGGCCTGTCTGACTTGACGAGAACTATTTTAAGAGCAGCTCCTCTAATATACATCGCTACTATTGGACAAATAATTAGAGTTGATAAAACCATCCTTAGAGATTCATGTGGAAATCAGACATGTTGGTGTATAATTGGAAAGTGCTCTGTTCTCTACTGACTTGTGTTTGAACCAAATTAACTTGAACAATTGTATTCAAGCTTTCTTTTTGAGGTTTCACTGCAGAACGACTCAAGTTTTATCTGAATACAGCTAACATCATTTTGTACTGGACTGTATCTTAAATGATTCTTTATACGTTCGTTTGGTACGTTTGTTTCTGATCTCGTGTCTGTCTGTGTGTCCTCCTGCAGCTCGGACAGGAGGCGTGATCAGAGACTTCAGTGACGTGTACGAGCAGCAGTACGCAGTCGCTCTGTTCAACAGCGTTCGCTATGAGATAGAAGGAGGAGGAGGACCGCAGTCGCAGCTGCTTCACAGGAAGGCAAGACCTGCTTTGTATCAGTTATAAAGGAGAGGTTTATCTTTGTTTAATGAATAGAATGATAAAAGACGTACAAAGAAAAGAAAGTATGTGGCATCCACCTGTGACTGGCATTTTAAAACTATTTCCTCTCTGGACCGGTGACGTTAATCTTTCTGTAAGGGACAAATGTTCGTATCCTAATGCGCAAATCAAGTAAAGAAAAAAGGGTTGTTCCAATGATTAATATTTGCTACTCAGCATTATAATAAACTCACCTAAATCTCTCTAGCTTTCTTTCTGCCATCATACAAGATGAACAAACTCACACTGTTGTTTAAGCTTAGCAGTGTATGCTGAACACAAACTTTCATCAATGCAAGCTTTGTTCGTGACAGACAGAAACAGAGCTTAATGTTTTACACAAAGCTCATTATTGGGTCTATGTAACGACACTTTACCTAACAGGAAAGTCTGCGCCACCACTTTTTGTATTCCTCTCATCTTTTTGGTAAGCCACCGCACCGAAGGTCCCATTTGTTCACATGTTCAATCAGTGAAGGGGAAGTGGAGCACATTTCACACATGAACTGAGATGCTGTTAGGAATGCTATTTATTCTGGCTTTTCATCTGCTCTCCGCTGAGAGAGGACAGCTGCTTGTGTGTGTGCTTACGGCAGAAGTGACAAATGATGCATTATGTGAATTAACGCTGATTGCAAATAAATATACTGTAAATATAGACACAAGGACATATTTTTAATCGGCCATTTTATCTGTAGGTACACCTTTTAATGTCTTGCTGTAGTGCAGAATGATACAGCTAATTTGCATGTACACCTTTTTCTGTTATTCAACGTTTTTATTTTTTACTAAAAGGCATTTATGTGCAGAAAAACAAACCTTTCGGTGCATCAAATCCAAGTGAAAAACAGTCTGAACTGATTGCATCCGTTTAAACAATCTGGATGTTTTCAGTACAAATTAATACAAACTAAAACTATTGTATTGTAGTCAGATACTATATTTAGAAAAACATTTACCCTGTGGTCTTATTCATATAACATTATGAAAGATCATGGCCTTCTTTCTGCTCTGCCCCTGAGATAAGCACAAGTGACCCTGCTACTCATTCACACAATATCTACAGATAATTAAAACGTTTCCAGCAAACAAACAGCAGCAAATATTTCCTACAACACAAGAGTCTCTTTGTGTTTCTGTCTCCTTCCTCTCGGAGCAAAGTCACAGTATTATTTGATCCATGACAGGAAATCTTAGAAAACAAAGTGGGTGGTTTGTTTCCTAGTGTAAACACTAAACACCAACTAAACTCCAGGCTTTGTGAATAGTTTCAAGAGATCTAGAATACAAAAAGAATGTTAGATTACAAAATAACATGCACGTGACTATGACAGCATTATGCTAAAGTGCTTTGTGATTTTTCAGGACCCCTTAGCAGGCCGCTCCATCTTCTCTGGGAGTCTGTTTCAGTATCAGGAGGAGAGTCGGAAGTGGAGGAATCGCTTTGTTTCGGTGCCCGACAGCTACATCATCGGCCTCTATGAGAGCAAAACAGTGAGTGCAAATCCTACTCGTCTAAACATCTGTCCCATTCGGCGATTTGGTCTGTTGTGTTTAAATAGATTGGCATATCTTGTGCCACATTTTTCAACAGTCACATGACAGGGGCCTTCACCCGAAAGTATCTATCAACTGTGCTGGGTACAAGGCCCTGACCTCGATGGAGGAATACATGGAGCTGATTAACACCAGCCTACCAGGTAGGAAATGGCAGATGGTGAAAATTATGCATTTATTCTCTTTATATGACAATATATGACTAAAAGTAGTTTTTATATTAGCATTTTACCTTTTCCTGTCCCCTTGGTTTGATGTCTATTGGTTTTTAATGGATCTGTGGTTAACACAAGCTGAAGAATTGTCTACTTTTTATCTACGACATAAGTTGCGTCAGTAAACGACCCCACCCATGACTGTCTGAAGCATCTTTGTGTCATGAAAATGGAGATTGCCAACAAGTGACTAAAAGAGATTACTCAGCGTCATTAAACCGAACATTAACCACCTGTAGCTTAGCGATGGTGACATGCAGTCAAGCAACCTTTATGTAATTTGGGCCTAATGTTAGCACTTTACTTTAAAGACTGCAATTACGCTTTAAAAGTTGAGGAGTCAATAAGGAAGTTATCCTGTGTCAGTATATTCTGGAATCCAACTAAATAATCCAATTGCTATTTGCCGAGGGGAGCCCTTCAATGATAGCTTTTTATTTTTGTATTTTCTTTATTGCCTGTAAAGCACTTTCTAAATCTTGACGTTTCTCATTCTTCTTCCATCATGTTGTAGATATCAAAGCCAAAGTGGCGAGTAATCCTTTTATCAAGTGTGCGAGCCAGTTCCCCCTCATCCTATGGCACCCGTACGCCCGCCACCACTACTTCTGTGTGATGACGGAGAAGGAGCAGACGAAGTGGCACGCAGTACTGCAGGACTGTGTCAGACACAGTAACAACGGTAACACACACACACACACACACACACACACACACACACACACACACACACACACACACACACACACACACACACACACACACACACACACACACACACACACAATGACTTAATTTCACCTAAGTAGAGCAATAATACTACACCACTAAAAAGGTCCCTGGCAGTGTTCCTTTAATGCGATTCAGATAAGTCATGAAACATTTTGATGAACTATGCATATTTTAAATTGCTATATTCAGTTGTCCAGAGTACATGCAGAGCAGTAGAGTAATTATCTTCATGGTGCCCCTTTATGGCTCTCTACCTTGTCTGGCTGATCAGATGAGGGTGTGTGTGAGTGTGTGTCACAATGTGAAGTCATTACATGCCATCTGAATGAGCTGGCTGATCGGTGAATGTGAGATGCAGGAACGATGGGTATTTCTTTATTATTCCTGCTTACAGCAAGACGTGTTGTTGGATTTTTTAAAACAGGCTTTTATTTGAATTTGTATTGATCATATTTAGGGATAAGCTTTGAATCAGCTACAGTTAACAGTATAATCCCTAGTTGTACTGAAAGTGTTTGTCAATTCATTGATTAATGCATAAATTGTAAATTCATTTGTCATTTATCAAGGACCTAAACTATGTTCAAATTATTCAAAAAATCAGGTTATAGTTAGGGCTGCTCAATTAATCGTATTTTAATCGCCATTACGATTATGGCTTGCAACGATTACGAAAACAACATAATCGAAATAAAACGATTATTTTTTTGTTATTATTTTTATTTTTGGGTTTTTCAGTTGAATTATACTTAACGTTCAGGGTAATCAACTGTTAAAAACATACTGTTAAAAAAAAAATTCTCCAATAAATGGATGTTTTCAAAGTCAATGAATAATCGCATTTAATAATCGCGATTACAATTATTGACCCAAATAATCGAGATTATGATTTTTGCCGTAATCGAGCAGCCCTAGTTATAGTACATTATTTGTAACATGAAGTCCTTAGCAAACACTGGAGGAATGTGGTGGTAATGAGTCACTTTAAGTATCATTTTGAATTATTTCCCCCAGCCTTTACTGGTTTGAGCAAGTCAGCTTTATACAAGTGCCGGGTTTCTTTTTGTGATGTGATGGCATTTTGAAGAATACTTTGGTGCGTTGCACATAAATGGTTGTTTGTTTTATAAGGGTGGGGAACTACTCTTGATCTGCCATTGATGTTTCTTCTTGTGGCATGACTTGTGTCATTGTGTTGAAAATAGGGCAATTCATCTTTTGTGCATGTTGTCATCCGGTTTCTCTTGGCTTGGCCTTCTTTCAAATTGTGTGTGTGTAACATGACGTGTTGACTTCAAATGATATGGCAAGTTTTTATTGTGTGTTACATTCTGCCTTTTTTTTTTAAAGTCAAGTTTCAATGTTTTATTGTTGTGTGCATGCATAATGTCTGATCTCACATTCAGTGTGCTATATTAACACTTGAGACAGAGAGAATCAGAATGAACAAGAAGCCTTGGGAAGTTGAGATAAAAAAAAACGACATAGAACAAAACAAAATACAACTGCTGCGGTTAACATGATTGGGCTTGTTTTGATCCTGATGGCCTGAAAGGCAAGTGTTGTTTACAGAGATTGTAGTTTATGTGTAGATATCTTTAAGTATTCATTAATAAATGGAAGATATCTTAAAAGCATTAATACAAAAAAACATACAGATAAGACTAAACATAACTGATACAGGTATCTTGGAATCCAAGATATTGCAAATAAATCTACATTGTAGCAATTGCCACTGACCATACTTCCACCACTTTACAGTGTGAAACCTAAATACATAGGTACTATACCTACATTATTGAAAATGTATAGATATTAAACATATCTGGTAAATTCATTAAAAAGATTAATTTAACTTTTAGGAATAATACATTGTTTATTGGTGCTGAATGTCATAGCTGTAAGTACCTGGAAGGTTTTGTCCACAGACGTTACCTTAGCTGACCCTAATTTGCAAGCACACAAGCATGTGGTTTTACATGCCTCTGGGTGTGCACCAGTGTGCACACATCATTATAATGCTGTTGGTATTGTTGAGTGTGAGCTTTAAGGCTTCAACAGCTTTCCTCAGATGAAAGCTAATGCATGGCTATCCTATCTGTAATTGTGCTTTAAGTGATTGTTAGGATGGATCATGAAGTATAGGGCGGAGTCGTTGTGTCATCAAGTCAGCAGCAGTCAATCCCTCAGCAGCTACAGAATATGCAAACAGGCGTTCAATAGTTTGTGTCTAAATTAAACACTGCAAGTTCAAATCTAAACAATCCTGTATCATGAGCTAAGCTTCATAACATGCTATCGAATGAAACAAGACACCACATCTCGGCTCTTCACCAGGCTGACAAAGTTGCTCGACCTGATTCAACTTTGTTTTTCCCTTATCATGCCAACTGCAGTGCATGAGTTCAAAATGGTATCATTGGCACACATGACAATGCCAGCAGCTGTCTGTCATCAGTATTCAAACACTGCAAAAAACCGAGGATAATTTCTCAAGTCAAGGAACGTTTTTGTCCAATAAGCCAAACACCAACTTTAGTGCACGCATTTTCTGGCTGTCAAACAAAAGCGGCCTCTGTCTACTCTGCACGCAGTCAGGCTTAACCGTTACTTCCCAACACTACCTGTTCAGGCATGCTGGGTAAAAGCCAGAGTCCCTGCCTGCCGTGCATTCCAGCTGTGAGGCTGGGCTACAGAAATATGTAGTAATGAACAGAGTGTGTTGCTGTTTTACTGTCGCCATGGCTGGTGTGTCAGTGTTGATTGGCACTCATGTTTTTGGCCCGTGTTGACACGCCCAGTCTCACCTCTGCATGTCAGTGTTTGGAGGAAAACCAGAACCGGGAAAGACCTTTCCTCTGCGTGATAAATGGTTTGACAGCCTGACCTCTGCACTGTCTGCAGTTACATTAACTCACTGGATTCTCTCTCTCTCTCACACACACACACACACACATACACACACACACACACACACACACACACACACACACACACACACACACACACACACACACACACACACACACACACACACAAATGGAAACACTTTTTTAAAACTGTTACTTACTACTGTAATTTTGTATGTGGATAGAATCTGAGATTTGACACAAACTTTCCTAATACACTGAAGTGAGAATTGAATACCACATGTAACACTTCTTTATAGAGCATGTCAGTCATGATGCATCAAATACTGCTTTGACCAGGAAGAATAGAGGAGCAACACAGAGGCTCCATGCAAAGCAGTTCTTCAGCTGAACACTGACACTGTTCAGCTGGCTTTGATAAGTAAAAACCACAATGTTTACACTGGCGCACTGAAGATGTATTTGCATCCACTTAAGCCATGGTGGTTTCATCCTCATAAGCAACCTGATAACATGATGAACTGCTGCTTTGCATTGCCTTAACAGCATCGTTTGCAAAGCAACCAGTTAATCAGCTCAGTTACCGGATGACTTCATCGCTGTATTCTGCACAACACAAAGCTGCAGTTAGTTGCATCAGGACGACCAGAAAACCTAATTCACCCTCACAAAATACAGATTGTGTAATCATTTTACCATTTACATTTTGTCAAGGAAGTAAGTAGTTATAGATTTAAACATGGCTGATCTGATGCCTGACCTTCAGCAACAAGGACTGTATCTTAAAGCGCTGTAGTTTGGACTCACCATGTCTCTGTAGCTCTATAATTAACCTGGTGAGTAAAATGTTGACCGACATTGCACCCAGTAGGCAAAAACTAAAGTCTCCAGGGATATTATGGTGTTACGGTTAGATTCATGATGAACTCGACAAGTAAACATGTTTAGTCCTGAAGCAATTAGTTTAATATTCAAATGACTCATCAATAAAAATATGAAAAATCCACACCTTTCAACATTATTTAGAAGTATGAGTCACTTTTTAAACAAGATTGGCAAACATTGTTTTACCTCCAGCTTCTAAAATGTGAGTTCATCTAAAGAAATAAACATAATCTTGGGCTTGATTACATGTTGGGTTTCTTTTGCATCTTTTACAATTCATCAACTAACAACCAAGGGATTGTTTGATCATAAAAGAACATTGAGTGCTTTCACCTAGTGGTGCCCAATAATTGGAATTTAGCTAATTGGTTCAGTTTGTGCAGCCAGGCTGCTGCTGCATCACATCAGCAGTCAAACACTGCTCCGAGCTGCTCCTTGGCCACTAGAGAGCCATCAATCACAGACAGTCTCCACCCCCACAGCCTCTAACACCAGCCAGCAGCCCTCTGCTGTGATCCACAGACCTCAGACTCATTCCACTCAGCAAGAAGAGACCTGCAGTGGGCACAGTCGGAGCATTATAGAAGTATTTTCAAGGCAGGTCAGCATTAAGGCAGTGTGCTTTCAGCCTACCATATGGTTCCTTTATTTACTCTAGACAATATAGAGTACATACTTACATACAAAAGAAAGCAATACAGGGTGTCAGGGACTCACATAGTTGCTACATGAGGCAGGATCTGCTCAAATCGTAGTCTCATTCAGTCATGTGTTTGTTTGTGATGTCTGTGGTTGATGGTATGTTTCAGTGAGTATTTATTGTACTGTGGGTTTGGCTGATTCCATAGGACTGCAGCACCATATGGGAAACTACTCATGCATGTCGGCGGTAGCAGCAGCAGTGTGAGGGTTGAAACATGTGTCTCAACCTGCATTGATGTGAGGGCAGGTGGCCTTTAGTTGAAATCCAATCAGACAATATTTGACATCCGAATGCTTAAAAGGTTTTGAATGTCAAATATATTTAAGTCAGAGAAAGATACACACACAAACATGTTTGGTTGTGAAGGCCTGGGAACGCTGCTGCTCAAATCACACCAACCAGAGCATGGTGAGCAAGGCAGGGAGGGAAATGCCTCAAATAAAGAGACCGTGGTAAGTGCTGCCACATGTTCTATTTATACACAGAACACACACACACACTGCAGAGAAACTAATCTGTTCCTTGATCTAGCTTGGTTCAGACGCATGGAGAATGTGAAGTGTTTTACAGGCATGGCAAATCCTCAAAAAATAATTTCCTTTTTTCTATTGGCAGCAACAGGAAATGTATCTGCGAGTGAGCGACTAGCTGAGAATGTAGAAGGGCTTTCAGGCATTTCACACTGGAGGCCTGGCCAAGGAAAGGCCCGAAAAGTGTTCACCACAAACACTGAGTAGTGTAGCCCAGTGGTACCCAGCCACCAGGCATCACACACTGGTGCCAGGCCATGGGTAAACACAATGATTCTGAAAAGATTCAATTCTTAAAGCTATTTATTTCAGGGGGCATAGTCTTTTCTTTGTTTCACTTTCTCTTAGTAACATTTACAACAGGATATGGATGTTGAGCCACAGTAAGTCAGTAGTCCATCATCACCCACTTAGCTCCTTGATAAACATGTGCTGTGTTCCTGTTACAGCTGGAAACAACAAACATAGAGAGTAGGAGACTTAAAGTTTGCTTCAAAGCTTTAAAAGAAGGAATTGGGTTTTTCCATTCCTATTGCTTTTACTTCTCATACTTCTGTAAGACAGATATAAACAGGAAGTATAATGTTGCTATGGAGTCAGTAAGTTATCGAATACAACATGCGTTGATCATATCTTTGTTAAAGTGTCTGCAAATTGCAGATTAGCTATTGACAGTTTCTCTGGCCAATGTTACCATGGAAGAACAGATACGCACTTTAGAAGAAAGAGCTGAACACTTAAAGATTCAGACATGGGAAACAATCCAAATACATTTTTGTGAAAACTAGTTTTTTGTTTGTGTCTGCTATACGGATAGTCAACATAAGCCAGCTTGCTGCCAGGTCCCTCACACACTTTTGAATTTGACCTCCAAAGGACGGCTGGTCCTCTGCCAACATGGCAGCTGTCTGCGCCGTTATCTTCCCATTGCGCTTCTAAACTTAGTGTCAAATACATTCTCAGGAAAAAGTGCCAGAACATGAAGCTCAGCCTGTCAGCAAAGAGTTAGTGAGCTGGAGCTGAGACAGCTTCCTGTCTGGCTCTACCTCTCCCCCTGCCTCACTCCTTGGTCACTTCCTGTCTTTGTCAGCCTCATCTGAGTCACAGACGCACAGCCACAGACAAAACAACTTGATGGAGACTCCAGCATTAAGGACACACACATTGATGCGTCTGCATAAAATACCTCACATTATATTCAACAAACTACAGCTGTCACAATACCATGCAGATTTGTGTTTTACAATGTAGCATTATCAGGACCTATTTGCAGCTGTCCTTATTCATAAGATCTTGGTGCTATTGTTGAAGTTGTGTGATATTATTAACCATCATACATGATAGCAAACACCATTTCAATACGGGCTATGAACAGCAAACATACCCTTTAATTACACATCTATGCGTCAGAAGGACTGACTCTTGTTGCCGCATGAGAAAAAGCGTCTGAAGCATCAGTCACTTTTATTTAAAGAAATAATTGCTCTGAAGGACAAGCTGCTAATTATAGGGACGTTTTATTCCACCTGTTTGTGCTCTTTTGTGAGGGATGCAGGACTTTCAGCACTTAGTGTCCCTCAGTGGGGAGGCCTTGACAGATGAGTGATGTATTTTCATCACTAAAACACAGCAACATGAGAAGATCCAACTTCCTAAAAACACACACGTGTTGCCGAATGTTTTGTGAGCTGCTCCTATTGTCCTGTAAGCAGGGAGTGGCAGTAACCAGGGCAACCACATCAAATCACTGCACAACTTCCTGTTTTGAGGGATGACACAACCAGTGCTTATGTTGTCCTATTCTCAAGCTACTGTTACTGAGTGTACTGCAGGTCTAAATTAGACTTTCAGACGTTGTGCAGAAATGACTCAGATACTTAGGAAACCGTTGTTAGTGTAAGAATCAACAGAAAACTATGACAACATATATTGAGTCATTCAGCCATAGTTATTGAGAGCATTCTGAGACCTCACTTCAATGTAAATAAATCATGCAAAAGGCATCTTGCAATGCTGCTATCAAGATTATTTCACTCAACTGCATCTTGTTTTTAAAGAGAGAAGAAGGGGTTTGTGTTTCTGTAACATTACTTAGCATCTGCTCTGCTCTCCCCCAACAGGTCTGTCAGAGGACTGCAGCGTTCAGACACCAGCCTTCACGGACTCTGTGAGACTCTTCAGACAAGCTAAAGGAAACTACGGCACATGGGATATGATGTGCGGAAAGCCCCCACAGGTGAGGATCTCAGATTAATAAAAAAAAAGCTGTTTCCCCCGCTCAGAGGTAGGATCTAAAAATGCTGCATTACTGTAGTACTTCTCAAAACTGGTCAACAAGGGCTGTCACATTTATGTCAGTTAAAAAACAATATACTGTAAACTCTAGGAGCATATACACAAATGTTACAGTGCAGAGGATGTGACCATGGTCTCATACTGGTGATGCCCTCCATCATGATGTCTGTCATCTGTCAGCAAGACGACAACATCCTCATGGTCAGCTGGTCCACGATCAGTGCCTGGCAACAGGAAATAAAACAGTTACTAACGTGCTGCACCCTTTATATATACAATCTATGGCTGCACCTAACAGCATTTTTATTTTTTGCATTACAAATTAAGTTAGCGATTAATAGATTATCAACATATTTATTTATTATAACTGTAGCTTCTACAGATTGCTGTTCGATGCCAGCTTCCAGGTAATGCACAAGAGTAGAAGCACCTGAATGCGACATTCATTTTTGGCCACCTCCTTTTGGAAGGAGAAACCTTCACTTTACTTATTTCCATTTTATCTTGTACTTTTGCTGAACTACATTTCAGAGGCAAATATACATTGTATCCACTGCATTTGTTTATTTATTAAAACACTTGCTACCATGATATCTCTACTGTACTACTCATTTTCACACTATTTTAATTAGTCTAAAATTGGCTCAACTTTGACAAAATACTTCATAAACAAGCTCATGACTAAATTGGTTGGTTGATACATGAATTACATTTTACTGATCATAATTCTTTACTTTTACTCAAGTGCAATTTCAGTTCAGGACTTAAACTTGTAATGGAGAATAGTGTTTCTGCTCTTACTTTAGTAAATAATCTGAGTAATTCTTCCACTACTTCTCAGAAATAACCACCTTTGGACAACTTGACACTGAGTAGTGTTGAAACAGTGTATATTGCATCTCAATTAGCTTATTTGCTGCTGGTGACAGTTCAAAGAGATTTTCAGGAACAAATACAAAACAGTTCCCCATGAGTACCTGTCCAAAGTTCAGTTCATGGCCATAATTCAACATATTGAGAGGCCACAATAATAGTTGACAAACATTGGTAGACATAGATGCATAGCTTTCCAGGGAAAAGGTTTTTCCTAATGTATGCAGCTCAGGAAAACCCTCCATCTACTTCAGGAACACAGACTCTTTCTTCACACTAAAGTACAAGAGTGCACCTACACAAGACCCCACCCCTCAAAATACCCCCTCACACACACGGTTGATGTGGGTCTCCCCTCTGAATGAGTCTCTTTCAGTCTCCTAATAGTGCTTCATAGTTGCTCTGTGTTTAGAGCAACCGTGTTTCCTGCCCATATACAAACTTCTTCCTCCTTCCATAAACTTTATAGGGGCTTAAAAATGTTGAACATTTCTAGATGTAAAAAATAATTTTAACTGGAGCATATGACACTGCTATGAGACATTTTAGCAGAAAATAGAGGGTATTTCAGCCAATACAGTTAGATATTTTTCCATTTTCCAGCATCTCCCTTCCAGACATTCCTGTGGATTTTGTATTCATTATGCGAATAGAGAAGGGGGGGAAATGAGCTTCAGATGACCATTAGAACTGTATAAAGCTATGAGCCTTATGAATCCAGCAGGGAAAGTGAAGCTCAGCTTTTTCAATGGAATTTATATTAAAACAAACAGTCCGAATAAACTATGTGTTCCGTGAAAATGTATATATCAGAGCTTAACAAAATTAAAATGCTCCCGACATAGCTAACATAAAAATGAAAGAAATAAACAGCCAGCTTACATCAATAAAATGGGCCTTTTTCATGGAAGACATTTTCACAAAATTACTTCAGAAGAAAATAGGCTTATGCATTAATTATGGCTATTATTAAATTGTGTTGCATTGAGAAATGCTGTGACATAGTTGCTTAATGGGACTTCTAAGGATAACTGCGCCATTGTTAATGTAATTAGTTTCAATTCAAAATGTCTGCTGTGAAAATAGCCAATTAGGCACACAATTAACATATTTTTAAACACTAACCCAACAGAGAAAAAGCATACAGTAGACTTGCAATATGCTCTAGGTCTAGGATATCATAATTAGCATTATATAGAACATACCCTATTGCTGTTTAACACACAGGAAAACTCCGGCCACCGGCTAGCTTAAAGCTTGTATGAGGTCGTGAAACAACAACAAAAACAACGATATTGGCCGACACAAAATGATGTCGTCCAAAACACAATCCTGGAGCAACATGGTCAAAATGTTAGCGTGTTTACCTAGCAATAAAATGCTAAATTAACAACAATAAAAGGTGACACCACGTGATACAAAATTGCCACAGAGCTTTTTAAACCGAGGAGTAATTGAGCAAACAGAGGGCGGGGCTTCCGGGGTTTAAATAGACCGCAAATGGTATGTCACGTGATAATGTGATGGAAACATGGTATTTCCATCCGACTGTATAAAGGATTGCAACACAATACAATAAAATAAAGTATCCAGTTTAAACAATAAATCATGCAAATATTGAACAACAAAATAAAATATATTGTTGTTTTATAATTGTTTTGTTCACAATTTTTTTTTACAGCTGAGGAAAAAAAAAGAAAAACGTTTGGCAAAATAAGTGCTTTAGGGTTGAATAAGTTCAGTTGTCATGGCATTTGTCATTTTGGGGGCAGCTGTCGAGAAACTGGCACAAAATACAAATAAATAAAGTATAAAATCTCACAGCCACCAATGTTATAATAATACAGAGAAAGTCCTATTTAAAGCTTTCAAACTAACAAACTACAAAATACATATTGTTTGTCAGTTCTTTCTGTTCCTCTGTTTTGGAAAACTACTGTGCTGTTGTCTCGTACAGCAACGTGTTTAAACAAATATTTTGTCAAGCTTAGTTAAAACCTCTGAGCCCTGTGTGTGTGTGTGTGTGTGTGTGTGTGTGTGTGTGTGTGTGTGTGTGTGTGTGTGTGTGTGTGTGTGTGTGTGTGTGTGTGTGTGTGTGTGTGTGTGTGTCAGTTGTGAGGGCAGTGCCAGCCTTCCTGCCTCTCTGTATCCAGCTGTGCATCAATCGCCCCACTGTATCCATGCAGCCACAGGAAAGAGGGGGCTGCGTTTTTTAAAGATGTATTTTTGTTTTTCTTTGGGTGGAGCATATTGGGTGTTTTTGACTTAACTGCTTGTGCAAAAAATCCCAGTTCACACCTAGTTATAATACCTATAATGGTAAAAGTAGGTGGGGCTGACCTTGCAGCGTAAAGGGCCATTAAGTGGGAATAATCCTATGCAATGTTGGGTATTTTCGCCTTTTACACACAAAAATAGGACACTAAATATACAAAAATGTATTAATATTGTCTACATATATTGTATGTTTACAGATTCTTGCTAATCTGGTGATGGAGACCCTCCACCCAGAGCTGAGAAGCCTTATCGGACCTCGTCTGAGGGGGAAGATGCAGCAGAGGCAGCGGCATTGGATGTTGGTGAGTTCCTATCATACTGCACAGTGCACTGCAGACATGTAGGAACACAAGAGAGACTCAAATCGATTGTGTTTCTGAACGCTCCCCTCCAGATCTCTGACGCAGTGTACAAGCAGGTGCTGACTCAGACCAGCTTTCAGTACGACGCGCTGGTGGATTCTTGCGAGGCCCAGAGAGCTCCACTGGACGCCAGACTGCGAACCGACATGGACCAGATGATCACGTCTAAAGAGCACGTCAGCGGCAAGATACGAGGTAACCAAACATCTACATAAAACAGTTATTTCATTGTAAATCAACACCACACTGATATATAGTCATTGAAATGTACTTTTCAACTAAATATAGCCCAGTTTTAACTCACCTTGATGTGGTTTCACCTTGCCTATACAGGGGTGTTCTGAACGGTAAAAAACAACTAACATTGACTTTCTGATGAGAGTACAAGTGATATACTGAACAGAATCACATCTGTAGTTAGTAACAGTATGAGAAGTTATGAACTCCATTGTCACACATGGTTTTATTAAACAAAATAATATCCAGGTAGTACAATTGAGGCAAGCATTGATGCAAGACAGATATAAACGCCATGATTCATCTGTAACGGCATATTGTAGTTGACTTCACTTCCTTACTTTGTTTGCCTACTTACACATGACTCGGTTCACTTGGTGCTCGCTGTGCCGTGTAACTTGATCTTCCCAACCTCAAGTGAACGCTTCATTGTTCGCTTACGGTCTGCCTTAGTGAGACGTAGCTTTGGAAGCGATTACTTTGGTCACTGAATAACGTCAAGGCAAGGCAAGGCAAGGCAAGTTTATTTATATAGCACTTTTCAACACAAGGCAATTCAAAGTGCTTTACAAAAAATGAAAGACATTAAGAAAATGGCATTTAAAATCAGTCATTAAAAAGAAAAGCTAATAAAAGAAATATTAAAAGAAAAAATACATGGATAAAGTTACAGTGCAGTCTAAGATGTGAATAGTTCAAGTGATGACACATTTAAAGATCAGATCATTAACGGATATATTTGTTATTGCATGGTGTTTTTTTAATACTCTCTATGCATTTCCAAATCAAACTGATATTGCCACAGATAAAGCTTACATTATTGATTTGTATCTGCTTTATCCTCTCTAGTATACCAAATCAATGCAGTAGCCTAGTACAGCCAGTAAAAGGGTCTGAATTGAATCATGTGTCTTAAGGAAACTTATTCAGAGAGAATATTTCAAATTAACTCAACTGACCAATAAACTAAACATGCAACCTGTGCCAATGTGCTTTGTGTGCAAACATTGGAGATTAAAAAAATCTGCATTTGTCTTTTGAATTGGCTTAAAAAAAAAAGTTAAAACAGGATTTCCTGGTCAAATTGGCAATTAAATNCTAGTACTACGCACACTCCCCGCCTTATTTTCTAAGAGAAAATGTTCGAAATAAAGACTTTAGGTACAAATAAAACCGTAGGAAGAAATTTTATTTCTAAAACCTGAATCTACCTAATGTTTTACTTCAAATGTACGTCAAATTCTCGTTATGTTTAATTTTTGTCAAGCGGTGTTTCGACTAGAGTAAATAATAAAAGGTTTAATAAAATAATTTTGTTTGACTTCTTTAACACTTTGTACACTTTCATACACTATGGGACTGTACAATCATACTTATGAAACAACCGTAGGGTTTTTCCGTGGCAATGTTATACCTTTTATTTGCTGTATGTGTATGACCGGAATCATTGTTTGGTTCTATACATGTGTGTACATATACGAAAAAAGGGGTAACTGGCACTTTAGTCCGGGATGTAGAATAAAACACATACATGAAGAGGGAGAACACGACATGACTCTAGTTGAACGAAGACGTAGTACTCTATTTTCATCACGTGTACTCTTACAATGTTGCAGGTGAAGTACCGTCCATAACACCCGTTTGAGTATATGGTTTACATAAGTCTATTTTTTTCGACATCCTTTCTTACTCGACGCTCCTATGACGTTACGATAGTTACAGGAGAATGTATCCTCGATAAGATATAGTCGACTTAGTCTTGAACTATAAATGGGTGTAGCAAGAGAGGAGACCGTAAAACACACATCGTACAAGCAAGAAGAAGTCAGAAGTCCATTACAAGTTATTAAAGGTGTAAGATAATGGTTTAAATAGACTGAATATTTGTTCCGTTCATCCTTTCTTTTTATCGACGTTCTCTGAATTACAGGTGTCGTAGTAATGTATCCTCCGATAAGATTATTGTCGGACTGTTTCCTTAGTCTTGACCTTATAATGTGTACAGAAGAGAGTGAGACCTGTAAAACACCGACTCGTAAAGCAAGCAAGAAGTTTCCAGAAGTCCATTACAAGTTAATAAAGGTGGTAAAAGAAATACGGTTAAAATTGAATGAAAATTGTTACGTTGCTGGTAATACAAATTGTGTATGTGACTTATGTGAAAAAATGACCCTAGTTACCTGACTTTTTGTTTACTGTGATAATTGATGTTTTATAAACGTAATATTTCGTTAATATCACTGTCGGCCGCGCATTGGCATGTGGAATCGGTATTCTTCGCTGGTTTTCTTCTCTACAAACTGCCGTATACAGTGGGGTTAGGTAAAAGGCATTGTTTCACCTAAGAAACGACGAGTACAAGTAGCCGTTGCAAAGGAGACGTTGAACGGGAGTCTGAAACGGAGCGGATGCGGAGTCTCTCCATGGAACCACAGCAGGCTACTGTTACATCCCCTGTCGTTGTAACGCCTTTTCTGACATGGCAGCACAGGGGTTAACCGTGTCTCCTCCCTCTCTGCTGGCCAGACTGACGAGCTCAGGTGATAGTTCATCGTGCAAACTCACTCACGCAAACCGGGCATCACTACACACAAATGTGGGTGGGGTCGCTTTGATGCGCAACTAGACCGCAATGTGCACTCTACAGCACGCCCCAAAGTCCATTTAAACTTCAGTCAGAACAAATATCCTGCAGGAGGGGATCTACTTTCTCTAATATCAGGCAAAGAGTGGTGTGAATTGCATAGAGAAGAAATAACTCTGACGGGGCAAAATCTGAGAGATTACAGGGACCAAGCCTATGAAGTCTTCGAATCGTGAGTAGGACGTTCATTTGCACGTCAATCCGTCATCTAGAGTTTTTCGGCGCATCTTTTTCTCGCCAGCCTTCTTGTTTTTGTATCATCATGGCATGGCCGTGCCTCACGCGTGCTTGCTGCATCAACCGCTATTGGACCGAGCTGGACAAAGGGGACATCGCGGTGCCTTTGGTTTTTACCAGATACTCGGATGTGGGCGAGGTGCAGCATCTTCCCCATCACCCGCAGCCGAGGCTGAAGAGGGCCGGGGCCATTGCCATAGAAACCCAGCCTCATTCCGGTGAGCAGGAGCCTGGGAAGGCACCGCCCGCGACGGGTGCCGCAGCGGGAAAAGATGGCTCTGCTGCGTCTGTCATGCGCCAAGACTTCAAGGCCTGGAGAGTTCGCCCCGAGCCCAGCTGTAAACCCAGGAATGAGTTGCAGCGCTCGGTGGCCCCGTTCAACAACGAAACTCAGTACCAGAAGGATTATAAGGCCTGGCCTATAGCGAAGAAGAACGACCACCCCTGGATCCCCAAACCCAGCCCCACCTCCGCAGGGCCAGAGCGAAGCGCAGGGGGCGGAAAACAGGAGCAAGCGGCCCCCGAGGTGGAGAGCGGCGTGGAGAAGAGCGAGATCGAAGAGAAAACACAGGAGAAAGAGTCAAACGAGCCGACGAAGAAGAGCGGAAAGAGGGAAAGGTCAGCAGAGAGACAAACTGTGGCGAAGACGGAGGAGCAGGTTTCTGCAGAAGTGAGCGCCGAGCAGAAGAAAGGCAGAGCGGCTGCAGACGCTCTCAACAGGCAGATAAAGCAGGTGACTTCTAGCAGCTACAGGTAAGGATCAGGCAGCGAGACCTTATCATGTACGCTTATCCTCTTTCACATTTATGAGAGCGTTTCAACTAACCTACGGAATGACTTCCTGTGTGCCAGACCGCTCCTCTGTACATTTAAAGATCAGATCATTAACGGATATATTTGTTATTGCATGGTGTTTTTTTAATACTCTATGCATTTCCAAATCAAACTGATATTGCCACAGATAAAGCTTGCATTATTGATTTGTCTCTGCTTTATCCTCTACCAAATCAATGCAGTAGCCGAGTACAGCCAGTAAAAGGGTCTGAATGTAATCATGTGTCTTAACTTGGTTTATTAGCAGTCTTCCTCTGAATCTAATTAGGGATGCATGATGCTTGCAAACTTAGTTAAGGCTTGCTGCCTTCAGTATGCCCTACTGAAATATTGAAGTTGTCGTACCAGTGCCTTTGTTAAAGGAAACTTATGCAGAGAGAATATTTCAAATTAACTCAACTGACCAATAAACTAAACATGCAACCTGTGCCAATGTGCTTTGTGCGCAAACATTGGAGATTAAAAAAATCTGCATTTGTCTTTTGAATTGGCTTAAAAAAAAAAGTTAAAACAGGATTTCCTGGTCAAATTGGCAATTAAATACTTTCTTAAAAGCAGCGACAAAAAGAAAAGTCTTCAGCCTGGATTTAAAAGTAGTCAGAGTTGCAGCGGACCTGCAGGTTTCTGGGAGTTTGTTCCAGATATTTGGAGAATAATAACTGAACGCTGCTTTTTTTTTATATCACAGTGCTCAAGTTTCCTAGAAGTTCGTTTAGAAATGTGGCTAAAAAAAGGGCTTTCTCTAGCTGTACACTGCATGTTGATTTTACTTTGATAAGCTGACTTTACAACACCACAGCATCCACCCTTTGAGCTATCTATTCACCTTGGCCACAGGGTTCTCACATTTGTCATGTACTGTCACATTGAGGTAAAGTGGCAGAACTGCATTCCATCTGTTACGGCCTAGAGATATTGGACCCCAAAGCAAAAGACTGAGAGAGAGAGATGGTCAAAACAAAAGTTTATTTTAAGCAGAGGCACAGTAAACGGCAGTGGAGGCAGAAAGCTGGCTGGCACGGAGACGTCAGGGACAGGAGGCAAAAATCCAGGCGAAGAGATCTCAGGGACGAGGAGAGCAGTGAGACACACCGGCGGGTCGAACGCAAAGGAATGATCTGGCAGGGAAGTGGCAAGAGGACCGGGCTTTTATGTCAACAGGTGAAGAGTTGAGTGGAAACAGGTGTGCCTCGTCTGCCGCTGGGAGGAGCCAGCAAACTCGCTGTCACACACCAGCCCTGCAGAGGAGAACAGAGAAGGGAGGGGAGAGACAGAAGAAAACACAACAAAACCAAAACTAAACAGAACCATCACACCATCACCTGCAATATACCACTATAGGCCATTTCTGACTCTTCCCAACAGATAAAGCTCGAAACTATGACTCAGCTGCAAGAGGATGCAACTTACGGTTACATGAGGGGAATTACATGAGGGGATTGCGATTCTTAAAGAGAACATATTGTGCTCATTTTGGGGAGGAGAACTTTGGGATTTTAGCCTTTGCAGACCATTTACGTGCACAAAAACCTAAATAACACACTACAGGAAATAAACAACCTCTAAAAGCATAATAGGGCCTCTTTAGTTTAAGCCGTCAATTCTACTTTGTCTGCCTTTTTCAGCACAGACATACACACACATACTTCCAACAAGTGGGTGTGTCCGAGAGTTGGGTTTCCATTGAAAGGACACAAGTGTGTTTACTCAAAGTCATGCATACCAGCCATTTCAACTTGGCAGTCAACGACACATTGTATATTGTAGATTGAATTCCTCTGAAGTAAGAGCCATGCCTCTTTTCTTAATGCTTTGACTTGCTCTTCATCGACTGTAGTGTGTGTTTACAGCAGTTAACCTTGAGTGTGTTCTTTTTCTTCAGCTCTGGTGTTGCCCAAGGCGGAGCAAACACTAAGGGCGAACGTGCAGCCGTACATCAGCTCCATCCTGGAGGCCCTGATGGAGCCCACCAGCCGAGGGTTCTCCGAGGTCAGGGACGTGTTCTTCAGGGAGATGGTGGAGATCAGCAAGAACTCGCTCAACGGAGGGGGCAAAGACAAACTGGGAGACGTGAGTCGTGTTTCACTGACTGCAATAGTTTCTTCCACTCTCTCTTTCTGTTAACTGATGTAAGGTGATAGTTTGATACAGGGGACAACATGGTTCACATTTCCTGTAAAAGATTTTTTTATAACAAAGGTATAGGAAAGGTAATCATAACAATACACTTTATTTATAGTACATTTCATACAGTGAATGCAGGCCTAAGGGCTTTAGAATGAGGTAACATAGACATAGAATAAACATGAAAACAGGGATATAATGCACATGTTGTGTCTCCTTCTGAACTCTTGACCAATCTACATTGTCCCTTTCCATCATTTCGTTTTTCTAAACACCTTTAAGCTGCATAAATCCGTACATCTGCAGAGTTAGTTGTTGATAATTCTCCGTGGGTTAGTCACTATGATCCCCATTCACATTAGTCTGTGATTGGTGTTGAAATAAAAGAAAACTGTGATAAATGAAGCCTAAACAGACACGCTTTTACTTGCATTACCGGAGGTTACTGGGAAAATAAATTCTTGTTTTTATTGGGTGACAGCAAAACGGTTGCTGTTATCCAAAAGAAACAAACCCTTTTTTTTCCACATCAGTTTCCCATGCTGCTTCTTTTTTTTCTCCAGCCGACAGCTTGGGCTGTTTTGCTTCAATAACATTTCTTCTTTCAGACTAGAATGTAGAAAACTTCCCAAATACACATTCATTTATTTATTTTATTAACTTTGTCCCTACATTTACCAAAGGTATTAAATAGTACCTCATTTGCATATTCAAACATCATTTCTTAGAAAACTTGGTATCCAACAAATGATGTTCTTACTATCAATAAACATCTAGGGAATTTCATATTGATATATATTATTTTTTTCCATCATCCTGAGCCAGAAATGTCTTATTCAGTATCACTAATTCACTAAACTTTCCAGTTCCATTCCCAGTTTCTACACAGGGTTTGTTCATACAATATACAAAAATGGCGTGATTTATTTGTATGGCTGTCGTTAGTTTTCATATCCATTATCCAAAATAACCTATAAAACCTATAAATTAAATCTTTAAAAAAAAGAATAATTTACTTATCCAATTTGAAGTTAGAAAAAAATCATGCAGGACTTTTGCATATCATAATAAAATAATCAGATTGTATTTTAAGACTGCATGTTTTTAAAGCCTTGGCCAGTTTAAAGGTGGGGTAGGTAATTCACTTCAGAAACACTTTTTGTTATATTCCATTGAATGCTCTTAACATCCCGATAGCAATTAATAAATTAAATGCTTTGACGATAAATATATACAAATATTTCATCTGTGGAATCCGTGGCGCTGTAAAAAGCTAGTCCAATTATCTGCGTCGGCCCGCGGCAGATAACTGGATGGCCTACCTGCCTGTCAGCCTTCCATCTCGTGCACAAACTTATCTCGTGCCCTCATTCGTTTGTGTGTGTTGGAGGAAGGGCTCTGTAAGGAAGTCTGAAGGAAGGTGCAGATTTTTTTTCGGTTGTGTACTTTCAAATTTTAGCTTACTCGAGCTGGTTTCTCCATTCTTACCTACCCTACCTTTAATGCTTCCCTTGAATTAGAAGTCATGGAAGTGTCCTCAGCTGCCCTCTGTGATAGGAACGATATACTCAACCTCTTTTTGGTTTTGGTCCTATGCCTCCTCCTGTATTAAGCTTGCTCCACCTCCATCACCTTGACCTTCTTCTTCCCCTCAGAACATGGAGAGGCTGTCCATGCTCGCCTTCCACCCGGTGAAGATGCAGAGCTGCTACGAGAAGGTGGAGCAGCTGAACCTGGACGGGCTGCAGCAGAGGTTCGACGTGGCCAGCCCCTCGGTGTTCGTCAGCAGGGCTCAGATCCTCATGAGAGAGGTGAGGAGATACACGTAGTATAATATAATACAAAGAATCAGCATGTAGCGAAGCAGCGTGAGGAAGCCTGAAACACTCCCTTAGTTCTGAGTACAGGACACACACCAGCTACCTCTCTGCAGGGGAGTCTCTACTCACACCTGCTGGGCAAAAAGAGTATCACTATTTTCACAGGTAAATCTGTTTCTTGGGCTATTGGATAACTTACCACTTGTTTTCTTGCAGCAAATGGACAATGCGGTGTACACATTTGAGCAACTGCTCCACCAGTCTTTGGAGACCAAGGGAGAAGAGGACATGTGCAAGACCATGCAGTGCTGCCAGGACAGGGTTCTCAAGGTAAACAGGAGACACTGTTGAGCGGTATATTAGACAAACAGTAACCTCATCAGAGGTTTGCACTGTTTGTGTTGCAGCAGAATATTTATAAAAAAACAGACTTTTGAGTTAAGCTTAGTTCACCCAACAGTTGTTTCTTTTTTGATTTGTGAAACAGGTAGATAAAAAGGGTTTTCCACTTCAAAAATATATATCTTTTGGCAGGATCTTTCATATCGTCTGTATGAAACAAACACTAACTTGGACAAATGATCATGGCAAAGACTTTTTCAAACGTCAGGGAAGAAGGTTTACTATAATATTGCTTTCTCCCATGACCTACTGGGCATCCGTAGTCCTTAGCATTATCTGTTCAAAGTAACTCAAATGAATTCTCTCAGTTCAGCATCTTTTTATACTGTCCATGTATTCTTCTCCAGATAGACTCTGCAGTCTAAGCAGAAGCAAATATTTGAGGATGTGAATTGCTGATGTATATATAATTGATGATTTGAGTAGAAAGACTATAATGAGTCATTTATATGTGTGTTTCTGGTCTTACCCTCAGAAATATGATTACGACAGCAGCACAGTGCGCAAGAAGTTCTTCAGAGAGGCTCTGCTGCAGATCATCATCCCGTACATGCTGAAGCAGCTGTCGCCTGCCTGCTTACCTGTGAGAAGAAGCGAACGTTCAAAGTGTGGAAAGAAACGTATCAATGGTCAATTATAAAAGCTTATCTCCTTTCCTCCTTCCATAGGAGCTGCCTCGCTTCAAAGAGCTTATCTTTGAGGACTTCTCCCGTTTCCTGCTGGTGGAAAATATGTTTGAGGAGTTGGTGCTGCAGTCAGTCTCCAAGGACATCATGATGGGTGAGGGTCAAAAACCAAACTATCTTGAGATGATGGCTGCCGTGGTAGTACATTATCAAGCGTTCTCGTTTACAAAGCAACTAATTCTCTTGTTCCCTCTCTTTGTCCAGCTGTGAAGGAGGCCGCGGTCCAGAGGAGACACAACCTGTACAGAGACAGCATGATTCTGACCAACAGCGACCCCAACCTGCACCTGCTGGGAGAGAGCTCTGCGGTGGACTGGGCTGCCGAATTTGGGGCCGATGAGCCCGAGGTTCCGGCTGGGGGCGACGGCGTTAAAGGAGGGGGTTTTGCGAGCAGGCGCCGGCAGGTGGTCTCCATGATCCAGCTGGACGGGCTGCCTCTGCCCTTCGAGTCCTGCATGGAGGTCCCAGGCGTGGAGCTCATCCCCGAGGAGGACGGCGAGATGTGTGAGGGCGAGGAAGAGGAGGACCTCGGCCCGTCGGAGGACCCCAAATCTCCTGACAGCGTGAATGAAATCAGGGGTCTGATCAACCCGGTGGTGGCGTTGGGGCTTCCGGTTGTAGAGGAGACCAAGAGCGACATCACCAACGGGACGGAGCCAACAACGGGCACCGTGACCCTGGAGGACAGTGTGCAGATGAATGTCACACACGTCACCACCGTGCGAGAGGACGTCCCATTGAAGTCTCCCAGAGATAAGACGTCCCCGCAGACAATTCTCAAGGAGCTGGTGGGAAGAAAGAAGCAGGAAGTGGATACGGAGGAAGCGGCCATCCAGAACGCCATCGAGGAAATCGAGATAGCGGTGCAGGAAGATGACAGCGAAAAGATTGCAGAAGTGTCCACAGCGGAATCAGATAACGAGTCGTCTCCAGCACCACAGGTGGTCACAGACTCGAGCTTGCAGAACGACAGCGGCTTCCAGTCGCAAGCCAATGAGGGGCAGGAAGAAGACGAGCCTCAGCCAATCACAAATGGTCTGAACGGAGAGGACACAATTATTGATCCGATGGATGTGGAAGTTATTTTAGCGTAGGAAGACAATCCTCCGAACAGAACTCTAGAACTGGAGAGTGCATCACATGCAATGGGAGAGAATGAATAGGGACAGTTTGCAAGGTATCAAAGGACTAGTTCACCCCCAAGATAATCATTTGTTTACTCATTAACAAAAAAATATATTAGCATACCTCCATGGGAAGCATAAATCCCAGCTCTTATAGCAACTTTCTTATTTTATTTTTTATTTTGAAGTAGTTTCGCTGTGGTTAAACCTGGTTCCCATTTACTTAAATTCTTTAAGATATTTCTCAGTTTAACTCCTTGTGACGGCCTGCGAGAAAAGCACAATTTTCTTCAAGTACTCAAGGTATACATACATAGTAATTTATAAACAAATGATCATTTTGGGGGACAAATATTCCTTGAAGTTGAAGTGCATTGTTGTTAATATTGCACACTCCACAACCAGCTCTCCCATCCGCCTCTTAACTATATAATATTTGGTGATTGGTTTCTTTCTGTGCAACTTATCGAGTCTCAATGCAGATTTCTTCAAGACACTGCTCGTTTATGCTATGTAAACATGCTAAGGATCCAATACAAGGATCAGGGAAGTGGTAATAAACAACTAACTTATTGATGTTTTCAAGTTATACTACAGGTATTTTTTTCTCTATGTTTTGCTTTCTTATGCACAGCCTCTACCTGGGCAGCAGGGGGTGCTACAATCAACCTTTGGATGTTGTGTGGGGAATTGTTTTTATTATTTTTAAATAATAGTATCTATTTTTATAAAATGTAATTTTCTTATGCAGTTCTTTGAAATATTTTCCTGTATTCACAAATGGCCATTATGTTTCAACACTAAATATTTAGTCAAAAATGATTTGCACTTCCAGAATGGTCTTCGGTTTCCCAAATATTACTGATTTCTTAATTTATAATGACAATCCAGTGGCAATTTTTCTTCAAAGCCAATATTTTCTAATATAAAATGATAATGTTTAACCTGGGGGAAATGGATGAGGTCTCAATTCCTTATCGGAATACAAAAATTATGTAAACCTTTACATATGAAACTTTTAATTCCTGCAAAATGTCATAGAAAAGTTCCTGAAAAAGAATAATTTTATATTGTACAAAGCGTAGGGATATTAGATTCTACAAATATATTGAATACAAGGCCATAAACTTCACGTTGTCCATGCTCTGCTGACCTGCCATGCGTCAACTGATGGCCCTTTTAAGTCAAATGTTCCCATCAGTAACACTCTTCAAAATACATTTCAGTAAAAGCAAGAGGGGGACAAGAAAGGACATTTTTGTAAATAAAGTACAAACATATCATTTAATGTCTTAATTTTTTATTAGAATTAGTACCAAATGACATTTCTTTGCAGGAACATCTTTTAAAAAAATTGCAATTACATATCAATTTATTTTCAAATGAAATTAGGGAAAACTTTTAACTCTCATTTTTATGATTCAGTGACCTGTAATCAAATCACTCACTGTATCAAAGGCACATTTAGAGTTGTTCCTTCCAATGCAACAAACTGTCCATCACCTTCTCCTGTTTATTTATTACAAGTATCCGTCTGTGGTGTGAGCAGCTGTTTGTCTAGTGCCTTTCCCTTCTTGCAATAAACTGTATATACATATACAAATATGGATGAATAAAACTATTTCATCAACTTTATTCTTTATTTTTGTCGGCCAAGTTCTTGCGACAGAAACGCATTGCGGAGAAATGCATTATTATTTTCAACAAACCACTAACTGGAATTAGTCTAAAACTAGTTTAAAAACTCAAACAGTCGGTTTCAGGGTTCTTTTCTTTGCAGCTCAAGGGTTGACAATGATTGCCACCGAACCACATGATCGTCTTTCACGTGAGAGAAGGACCAAGATGACACATTAGAGAAATTTACAAACCGCGATCACAAGATTCAGTTCCTGATTCTTAGCCCTGTCAAAAGCCCTCTGACCTCAATCTCAGCTCCGAGTGCGAGTCTGCGTTTAGGTTTCACTCAAACACACCACAACAAAAGAGAAATCAGTATTCAATACTTCCATGTTAGTTCACACACAAACGTTGCTTTTTCAGCAGTTTAAAACACAAAAGTCATGATGATTTCACCTTGAAGCTTCAGTGGCTGTGTCTTTTCAGCATAGTCAGACCTCTCCTTTAACAACAGTTCAAACATCTCATGTTGTGATAGTTAGAATTTTCTGGAAAATACAGAAGACTGTAGTATCTAGAAAAGTCTGACACTGTTGACCAGAAACAACCGTAATAAGCCACGAGCCTGACTTCCCTTCTTTCAATTGTTGTCGTTCCTCTGCTGTGGAGAATTAAGTCCAATTAAACTCCAATCTCCTCCTAGATGTTTGATGTTCATAAAATGAGCAAGATTACGCCTTAGAAACACATGTTGTATCCCTTTAACATAAAATAAAGCACCTGAAAAACGATACACATATACATATTGTTCCTCTGGTCAAAGACAAATGATATTACTAAGTATGTCCGGTCAAAGTGACCTCTAAAGAACCCTGAGGCCACAGATTAAAGAGGGACAATTAGTTTGTGCATAATATTTTAGTTTCAATATCCAGATGTGTTTCATGCAGCAGTAGTTTGTGTTGGGTTGCTCATCTTATCATTCAGCGTACCAGGAACTCCCCTTGTCCCCATCTAGTGTTCACATTTTCACAAAAAACAACTAAGAAGCGGAACAACACAATTCAAATTAGGTGGTTTCCCCTCAAATATCCAGAGCATATGATCCTCTTAACTCAGGGAAGAAATACAGATAAAATCCACCCTGTGTCTGAAGTCTGTCCATATCATCATTTGTGAACCACGAGAGGGAAGGAGATGAAATACCCGAGGACGGAGCCCACCACGACCCCGAGGAAGATCCAGGTGTTGTAGGACATGACGCACAGCATCAGCATGTACCCCAGAGACACCTGCAGCATGTGGAGGGCCGTCTGGATCGCATGCAGCAGCCATCTGCAGGAGAGAGAGGGATACACCGTGTATAAAACATATATACTGTATGAGGGTAAGTTGCTTAATTCTCATTACCTAAAATGCTGTACTGTATTCATTAGAATAGTTTGAGTTCAGTCTGTCAAGATGGATTTTGCTATTACTGAACTGTACTTATTGTTTTTAGGCTCAACCATTATGGCAGATACGTGACCATTTAACAGAAAGGGAGGACAATGTTCAGTGTCACAGTCACATACATCTATATATAGAAATATATATAGCCTCTGCCAATTAGTGAAGTTGCAATTCATATAGATGTCTGCCATCACTTGAGTTATGGACTAAAACAAATTACATCTAATCAGTTTATTTATGAGTCCATGTGCCATTTATTATATTTCATTCTAAAATAATGTTATATAGCAATAAACTTTCCCTAGCGATACGTTAAGTAAGTGATTCTGATGACTCTGCTATTTGTACTTCAGGACCCTGACCTGTGTGTGGTGTTAGCAGCGGGAGGGTGGGGCTCGATGGGGGTCAGCGAGGACTCGGAGGGGCTGCTCTCCAGCGCCGCGGTGCTGTCGCTGCGGTAGCATGGGGGCGGGGGGGCGTACACAGACTGAGGCTGGGCCAGCTTAGAGCTCCTGCTCAACCACAGCCTCCACACTTTGAGCACCTCGTAGAACACCGTTAGCAGCAGGACCACAAACACCGACAGCACCATCCCTACACACACACACACACACACACACACACACGCTCATTTGATACCATAAGATAATAGCGGTCATATACTTTCTCTTATATATCTGTACATTATATTATTGTGATTTCTTGGCTGTATGGAGAGACTTCCTGGAGTCTCTTGCATCTGAGAAAGCAAATTAGTGTCATTTCTCAAACTGTTAGACATTTTTAAAAAGGGATAATGTGAATAATTTTGGTTAATATTATGGATATATACTGTAGGTAACAGCAGTTACTGACCTGTATGTTGAGAACTCACCCAATAACTAGTTTAACTGGTTTGTTTACTTGACAATATTTGGTATCTAAATCTAAATAAAGGTAGCTTATAATGGTTCATTTCATTAAAAGCACAACCACATGGGTCAAAACATTTAAGAGTGATGCATTGAAAGGCTAGGCGTATTTTGTCAACAAAAAAAAAAGGAGAAGAAAATCCGGTTAACTGTCCTCAGATCGAAGAAAAGCACATTCAAGCAATTCTTTTAGAACTACATTTAAAATATGTGGTGTGATTTTATATGTTGGTAATTTGATGCTGGATGATTTTTTATAATCTAAATATTGGTCTTGGCCTAATACATATTAGGTCAGGCTTTATCATACTGCAGGAGTTTATTATGAAGCAGGTCAAAGTTTGTTTCCAGTGAAACTGATGGGAATCATGACAGCTGCTAACCTCCACAGAGGAAAAGGCTTTTTCAGGAACCTCTTCCCAGCTACCAGGCACGACATCACAGTAAGGTGTAAGTGAAACATTAAAACAGCCTTACTCAAGCTTGCTATGAGTATGAGGTTATATAAAGCTATCCTGATGTCTGTAGGCATAGCATTACAGTTAGCTGGTTCTAAGATGTAAACACTACCGGTAGATGTTAGATCGGTGTGTGTGTGTGTGTGTGTGTGTGTGTGTGTGTGTGTGTGTGTGTGTGTGTGTGTGTGTGTGTGTGTGTGTGTGTGTGTGTGTCCGTCCTATGAAGCAAGACGTTTGTCAGACTCTGCATCTTACCTGCAGGCCCGTGCACATCCCAGAAGTCAAACAGCAGAGTCACGCTGCTCGACCAGCCAAAAGTCATCTAAAGGAAGGAGAGAACATGAAAACCTCTCAACGCTTCACTGGTTATGGTTACGTTTCAAAGCTTCGTTCCAATTCAGAAAAACATATTCACAAACCTTCTTAAAAATATGATCTGAAGGAAGTAGTCTTATCTTATGATTTCCTAGGCAAATATGAGCAAGAAGGGATAAAACATTGTACCCTGATTGAGAAGGTGTGGTTTGCCTCGTTGCTAGGTATGACCCATTCTTTTGAAAAGGTGTGATAAGGCGATCAAATTAAAGAAAACAAGGTGGCACACATCCCTGCACGTTCTGATCTGTAGGATTTCATCCCCCTTTAATCCACTACCTTTAAACTATTCAAATATCCTCCTCTCTACTCTTATAGTTATAGAGTTTCATCACAATGAGCGACTTTGTTCTGGGAATCTTTCTGAATAGGGCCAGGTGTCACAGAAACGCTGACTCAGCCGCTTTCCCACCAAGATCAGTAATGTAAGACTGAGGGCTCCTGCACTGCTCTGTGATCAGTGTTCCTCGGCTTCATCTACTGCTGCAATGACTGAGAGCATCTCACGTTATAATGATTCCTAATACCACACTCAATACCTCCTTTGTTCCACATATCATTGTTGTATTCCTTGAACAAAACAATTATGATCCAGACAAATAGTGTTTCAGCTGATCTTGCTCCACAATCACAACAAAAAAAGCACACTCTGTTGTGGGGCGGACAGACAGAGGAGTGGAGTGTGTGTGTGTGTGTGTGTGTGTGTGTGTGCGTGCATACCCTATGTGCATCCTTGTGGTTTGGAGGTCACAGGATGAGCATTCCATGTAACCAGGATTATAATAACATGGCGTTTATTGAACTATTTTCTGATCTGGGAAATGTGTACCCCTATTTTATTTATAGGGCAGTGTGTTCTCCAGTATCTCAATATAGTGAGTTGTNGTGTGTGTGTGTCTGTGTGTGTGTGTGTGTGTGTGTGTGTGTGTGTGTGTGTGTGTGTGTGTGTGTGTGTGTGTGTGTGTGCGTGCATACCCTATGTGCATCCTTGTGGTTTGGAGGTCACAGGATGAGC